GAAGGGCGGCATACAAATAAACTAAATCTGAAATCTGAAATCTGAAATCTCTTCTGACAAGCCAAAACTCCTGCACAATTTGGATGTGCAAGTAAACAACTGTTTTGGCATTTCCACCACCAATATGTCTATTAAATTTCTGCAGTTACAGAAGTACTTCAAGCAGGGTCTGGTTTAAGATGATCAGAAGAAGTTCAGAACATATCTCAACTTCAGAGCATAGAAATCCTTCCCTCTGTTGAAATGAATACAGCAAAGATAAATGATCAGTTGACCTCTTTTCTTGACTCAACAAACTGGTAGATGTCCAGAGGTGGTGATTCATCCAACATGACTCAACACAATGAAACATATGTTGAAGTTTCTGTAAGGCCCAATTCTCTGGGCCTCTTTTCCATCTCCATTTAGCGACGTATTGTCCAAAGAGGAAGCTGTGGGGCAGGTGAAGAAGAGTTGTTTCTTCCTAAACCCCAGGGCAGTGTGAAAAGGCCTTCCAAAAACCTTACTGTGATGAATTTGCAGGACACTGTGCAGATAAAATCTGATTTGTATTTCACACCAGAACCGATTCTTCTAAGATGATTGAAACAATCAATTATTCAATTTTATGGGACAAGTTTCAGTTTGTTCTGCCTGAGGACGGGGATAAGTTCCTCAGAAGAGAGAAATTGAACATTTGGTCTTTGTACCCCTATTCATCCTGGCTGATATGAGCCAGAAGTAGTGAAGGTGATAAATGTTTCTTTTAAGAAGAGGAATTTACTAATCCCTCTAAAGAAACAGTTGTAGGATCCTGACTAAAAACTTCCTTTGGTTTCCACTGCTTTGGCTAATGATCTCTCTACTTTCTCATTTCCCCTTTTAAAGTAAGGTCCTCGGATATTTGTTGGTGATGCATTTCAAAGCTTTCTTTGATGTAAATGGATAATTACAATTTATGTTCTTTATTCTGAACAGATTTGGGGAAGGGGAATTTTAATGAATCCTCACCCTCCCCAATTTCTTTTATTTTTTTTTCCATAATGTTCACTAATGCATTGAACCCTTGCCCAGTCCCATTGCTGGATAATTACAGTGGGCAAAGGTAGGAAAATATTGGCCCTCATTTTAAGAACAAGGATTTGATTATGCTTAGTGACAGAATACACAGGCCAGTGGTGGGATTCAGCCAGTTCGCACCTATTCAGGAGAACCGGTTGGTAACTTTCTAAGCAATTCGGAGAACC